GGCGGGGGGGGGGAGAGAAGGAGAGGAGGTGGAGAAGGAGTGGGTGGAGGGGATGTTGAAGTTACATTACAGACGGAGCGAGAGAGGGGGAGAGAAAGACAACTGGGTTCCCACTTCTTCGTAGCGAGCTGAGCATCCCGCCAAGGGCAGCTCAGGAGCTTCGCGGAAGGAAGGCAGGCAGGCAGGCAGGCAAGCCAGCCCGCTCGCCCACGCACGCACACCCGAGACCTCGTGGTGGTGCCAACCAGGAGAAGTCCGACGAGCACCCCGAAAGAGAGCGAGAGAAAGGGGGGGCTGTTCTTTTTTTTTTTTTAACAGCTCGCACGCGCCGAAAAGAGCTGGCGACCGAGTGTGCGCGTGCACCTGTGTGGATAGTTTGGCTCTCCTTGGCGAGCTGAGGGGAGCCCGCTTCACCGGGACGGCGAGGAAGGAGCCAAACGAGAGAACCGACAACGGCGGGGGCCCCGGTGCCCCCTCCCACTTCTCCCTCTTTCTGCTTCTGAAGGGCACGTTTATTTTTCGAAGGCTGGTAGACCTGGAAGAGCGTTGGCGTCCCACTTCTTTCTTTTTCCTCCCCCTGAGGGAGCGAACTTTAGGAGGGGGCGCCCTGTAAAGAAGCGGCCCCGTTTCCCGACCCGCAATAACTTTTTCTGTCCCCCTCCCCACTTCTAATCACTGGAAGGATCTGGTATATTATTTCCTCGCGTCCCGTCTTCCTCGGGAGAGCCGAAGACTGCGAAGAGGACTGGGCAGCCACTTAGGGGGAACTCCCCTCCTCTGGCCGAGGGACAAAGGCAGAGTCCTGGTGTGTGTGTGTCTGTTTGTGTGTGTATTTGGGCGCGCGCGACTTTGCTTTCTCGCGTCTCCGTCTCTTCCGCCCACCCCGAAGCCCTTCGTGTCTCCTCTTCACTACCCCCCCCCGCAATTCATGAGGTAACACTGTGGCATTTTCCATCCCACCGCCCGGGCTCAGATTTATTCCAGAAAAGGTGTGCGTTTCGGTGGGTGCGGGGGTGAGGGTTTTTTTTTCAATCTCCGGCGAACCCACTCAAGCGGACGCCCGTAACTCTCCTCATCGCCGCCAAAAATTCCAGCCGGAGGTGCTCTAGCTCTGAAGCCCTTCATTCTCCCCCTCCCACCCACCCTACAGTGCCAGGGAAAGTATATTTGCTTTAAAAACAAAAAAAGTCGGCCCGACTGTATGTCGCTGTTCCGGCGAAAGGGAACGTTCTGGGGAGCCCCGCCGCCGTCTTTCGCGCAGAAGTCCAAAACGAGAGCAGCCGAAGGGAAGAGACGCAAACTTGTCCAGACTTTCCTGTCCTTTCGCGGCAGACACAACAGAAACCGGGCGGGGAGGGGTAGCGTGAGTCTGTGTCTCCTTCCCTCTCGTTCTTTCTGCTCTGCCCTGCCCTCCCTCGCTTTTAAAGGCCGACGGACAAAATAGACAGGCCCGGCCGCTCTCG